TGGCAAACTAGATAACTTCTGGGAGAGTGATGTCTACATCATTATCTCAAAACCAAATGAGGAAATTCCGGTATTYGAAATCCAGAGAGAGGATGGGAAGGGCCGCAAACGGACCATCCACCGGAACCATCTYTTACCGTGTCCTTTGCCACCGAACGAACCTCAGGGAAAAGCTTTTTTCACAGGGGATGAACTCTCCACAGATGACGTGTCTACGAGTTCTGGACACCAAGAGTCGCCCCAAAAAGTTAGACGAACCTCACGAACGCGACGCAAGCCTCATTGGCTCTCAGACTTTGTAACCAACTAGCCTTATAAAAAAAAAAGAAAAAAAAAAGAGGGAAAGGTGTGACAGGGGTTTATTTTAATATGTAAGTTGTTTATTTATCGTCCCTTGTGCCTTGGTAGACTCTTTTAAGGAGTCGCGCTTTGTGCGTGACAGAGAGTTCGACCGCGGTACCGGCCAAAAGTAGAGTACGGAGACGTCAATTGCACCCAGCTACAGGAGGCGAGTTAGGCCCTTGAAACATATGTACGAGTGCTCAGGAACAGAATAAAACCGACGTCGTTACATGATTTACATTCATGTCTTGAAGTTCGTAACTTTGTAAAGAGCAGCAACAGCTACAATAGCAAGCTTACGAGATTTTCTTCGACTTTTCTTACTCCTGACTTTAGTTCGTATCCTAATAATAACACTATTAACTTGTGAAGATTTAAGTATGTTTTTAAGTACACGATGAAACATATTTCTCCGATGGTTTCTGTTAGTTTTCTGAGAGAAACGATAACATCTGAATGGTATAAAATTCTTCTCGGTTCTCGGTCGCGCGTATTATCATGGTATTCAGACCACAGGTAGCCCAAACTTATTATGAGAGGACTTTGACGTAATGTCTTCTAAAAACACTGAAAACTGTAAATGATTCTCAAAAATCTCTCAAAAATTTAGAATGATTATTATAGTACAACTATCGAATACCCCGCCCCTCAAACCCTCTACCTGTAGCCACCGGCTACGCGGCTACGCAGTAATAGACACAGGGATACCAAAATACAATAAACTATATTTTCACCGACCGGCTACGCACTGACTCCGTATCCGCCTAGCCGCGTAGCCACTTCATAATATATTGCCTCGTTTTATAATAAAACACAGGGGAATCAGTATTATTACATCGTAATACTGATGCTTCATATATGTATGCAGCATTAAAAATGTTTTTATTCTTTTTCCTCACTCCAAACTATGGCACCTTGACTTACAATCTATGGCACCTTCACCTTGACTTACAATCTATGGCACCTTCACCTTCACTTGCTCTTTGCTCTGATCTCTCACCAAAGAGTCTTCTTATTAATAGACATCTCGATCCCTATCTTGTGACTCTCTGTAGAGCAAACGTACTGCAGACATATATTCTGTAATGACTCTTACCTGAAGAAACATATCATAGAATGATAGGTTGTTGTATGAAGCGCACCAAAAACTGATGTCAATAGATCTGGGCCAGCTTAGATGTGGTCGTTAAAACTTTTTCCATTGCATTTCGCTGCTGCGTTCTACACTCGTCGAACTTTGTCTGGTTTCTTGGGAAATGACGTACTGGTTGATGTGAGATCCTAAACTATTTATAGCTTAGAATATACATTAACGCTTGTAATTTTGAAAATGAAAATAAAGATTAGATCAAATGCGATTTTCCGGGTGGCATCATCAGTAAAAAATGCCAATTTACCTCTTATGGGATCGCTGTGTAATATCACGTTTTCAAGTGGTTGGAGTTCCTGTGAGGCATGGCTTAGGATCGTTGCAATTGTAGATTTTTGCTAGGTATATTTTGTTCACTGAGATGGCCTCTTCATATCAGCGTGAACACGAGTTTCACTCTGTACACCATGTCATGGATAGTATAGTAATGATTTTCTATTTTCGCCATATACGCTGCCTTCCAAACGATATATATCTCTGTATTGCCTATTATAAGACATGCAGGAATAAATGAGATGCCCACCACCTATATGTTGTCCTGTGGTTATTGTGAGAATGAAGTTTAGCTATTAAATATTTTATACTCGTTCAGCAGGATAAGAGTATAAATGTACTTCCTCAGTTCAGTAGAACTGTCTATTTAATGTGGCGTGTTTTGAACTAGTCCTCAGTAACGACAACGTACGTTTCGACCTTGTCATCGTCTTTCCTTGTTGCTTTTAGCTTGGTAGAAGATGGCGGATTGTAGAGACAGTTTCCGTTCATAGTTGTAATTGTAATAGTTGCTCTGTTGTCTTTTCACACGCTAACCGAAGACAGAGGTATTCTGGGAGAAGTCGAAAGAAGGTCAGTAAGAAGGTACATTTACTCTTTCGTTCAGCGCCGCCAATTGTTTATATCCCATCCATAAACGTAAATATTTAATATCGCAAGTTTCTCATTATTTAGGGACTGTGCAATAATTACCAGGAGGGGGGCTGTAAAACCAGATTTCTTAAGCAGAAAGAACGAACCCAGATGCAAGAGGTGGCTTACTCATCTGGACCTAAGTGTAAAGACCAAAAATTTGAGGAGGAGCTGAATTTGTTCCTGGGAAATTTGTATGAATTTGGGAAACTAAGGGGATTTTTTACTTTGGCTATATTGGCTACATTGTTGAAAATCTCACATGCAAATGTGCCGCTCTTGGTTGACCTTGGTTCTTTCAAATAATTTTGTTTCCTGGCAAAGGTTTTCAAGGTCCAAAAAAGGCTTATGTAACGGATTCTATGGTCAAAAACGACTTCGATATTACTTGTGCTTGTTATGTCTAATAAATCATCAATATGTTTTTAGCTTCTACAACTTCAATTTATGTGACAACTACATCCTCAATTTATGTTACAAAAATTGAAAATATCAATAGTTGAAAAAAAAACGTACCTTGGTCAATTTCAATCCCACATCAACGAGTCTTTGAATTTAGATTTCCATTAGTCAGGCGCGTAGCGTAGACTTTCTATGCACATGTCAGGGACCGCGACACATATTTTGGTTCTGGGGGTCTAACGACCGCCAAAGGTTGAAGGCGGGAGTATTAAGGGAGTCTGGACCTCCCCAGAAAATTGTGAAATAAATAACTATTGGAAATACGATTTCCAGCGTTTTGAGAGACATCAAAAATTATGAAAATTTTGAATGAAACTTAAGGCCCCCCTCTGTTAATTAGGTAATTTTGCTTTGAGCCACCCTATATTGCCATCAATTTTATGTAATGCCCCCCCCCTCTGGTTTTGCCCCCCCCCCCTCCTCCTAAATATTGAACAGTCCCTTATGGCGACAAGTCACAAAAAAGCGGCGCGTTACTGATGATGATTAAAAAAACAACGTGACTATGAATGTACATTAGATTTTATATATTACGGTGTTTTGAAGCTAGAGCCGTCTAATTCGGCTTTAAGGGACAAATGTTCTTTACATCAACAGGTGTTTTTACTCAGAGTCTCGACCCACCGACACCACACGATCAGTTGTAGAATGACGATTTACTAAATTTTACCCAAATCGCCGTTCGTTCTGATTTGCTTACCTTAATCTTAATAAGATCTAATGTAAATTCATAGTCATTGTCCTGTTTGTTAATGTTCTTTTTTGTTCGGTTCTCTAAATAATTCCGAATAGTCTCATTTGAACTAAAACTCTTTATTTCTTTTAATGTTTATTTGTACATTTTTACTTCATGTATTTGATAACAATATTCTTGAAGGACATCGAGTATCTGACAGCTATTCAAGCGACTGGATCAACTAATGTAATTTGAAGAAGGCATTGACAATTTCTAGGTTTCTACAAAAG